GTATTGGCCGCCATGTTGGAGGGCATACTCTTGCCCTCCAACATGGCGGCTAAAACTAGTTTTTGCTTACATCTTGTTAAACTTTTGATAGTTATGCTCAGATGTGCTGCAAACGTTACCACATCATTTTTCAACATTTTACTTGAAGTTTTTAAAAGTGCAAAATTTGTGTTCAGAAAGAAGTAATTCGTAATTTTCAAGATCACATTTTGGTCACGTGACCAGCTACAAACTTACTCATTTTAAGACAACAGTGCAGGTTTGAAAAACCAAATCACTATTATTTTGTTTAGGATATGACCCACTAATCATTTTTTGAAGGCAAAATCATACAACTTTCATTTTCATTAAAACGATGTCACATGACCTCTTAGTGCAAATGGCCTATTTACAATCACCCCAAGAGAACTGGAAAACAATGCTTCTGGATAATTTTGGCGGGGCAACAAAAAGTATTATGGTATTTTTGAGCATGGCCTATTCGAGCACATTCAATGGGAGAATATCATACCACGTTAAAAACGAAAAAAACCTGCTAGCCGGCTAAAAGTGAAGATGCCGTCATTCTTCAAGTTTGCGGCGCCACAAATTTTTTGCAACCAGCCCTCTATCTATGGTTTCAGTTACTTTGTCTCTTGTTGTACATTGTAAGGCCGGGCGGCTTTTGAGGATACATGGTATATTTTTTTGTGGGCTTTTCTAAACGAGGAATTGCCTGGCCACTTAATCCACCCCCTTGATTCGCCCCTGTTTGCCGAAAATTCTTTTAAACTGACAACTAAGTTAGTGTTTTAGGCGTTTATTGGCAAAATCTCCGGGAGCCAATGGCTTAAATTTTGGATAAAAAATTGTGGGATTATGAAGTTCAAAGAATTTTAACTTCTAGATTAGCAAATACTTTTCAGTCTTCATTAATAACTTTGCTAACCTTAAAGGCCCAAGCTTTTCTGGACACAGGCCTGCCCAGAGGGAATAGGCACGAACGGGACTCATAGGTCCCATGCAAGGTGCCATCCCTACCCAATCCCACAACCCGTAAAGGCTGGCCACACCACCGGGGTCTACGTCCCCCACTCTTTTCGAACAGTAGTGTGGGTTCTTTTACGTCCCACAAGAATAGATCAGTGAAAGTGCTGTAAGATGGGACCTACGGTTTTTCGTCCTTATCCGAGAAGACAAAGAAAGTCTAACCATTTGCAGATGTCATTACAAAGGCAGCACTTTCTTCTCAGTTATTTAAAGACCCTAAGTGTTGGTCCGGCCGGAGTTTGAACCCGCAACCTCCCGATCAGCAGACCGGTGCCCTTCCAACTGAGCGAACCAAGTGACGTAGGAGCAAGGATGGCACAGTTGGTTTCGAGTTGGTTAGTGCGCGGCCTTCGGTGAGCGAGGTCCGGAGTTCGATTCCCCGTCACATCACATCCTTGTTTCAACTTCTCTCCTTTCTTTGTAGCTTTGACTAGCTTGAAATACCCTTAAAATGGAGCACTGATGGAGAGGGGGGAATGAGCGCACTGTCGACCTAAAATTTATCAGTTATTACTGCCACGAGTTATCGACGTAAAATATGGTTGCTTTAAGTTTTTACTTTCCCATCTACATGGGCTGAGGGTTGCATACACAGTTATTAAACTCATTAATAATCAATGAAAATCGTGACGGTGATTTGAATACCAGAAAACATTGGAGAGGATCTATATCAAACACACCACTCAATGTGTCATGCAATATCTATCTAGTAGACACCTCAAAGCTAGTCTTAATAATCAGGGCTGTCCCTCGCTTTTCAACCTGCTTCTCAGTTTCTAGATCATCGGATGAAACATTGTTGTGTTGTGATTGATGAATTACATCTCAATGTATTTGCAATAATATTATAGGACCAAGTGCATTAAAGGTATGAGCCTCTAGTCGACCAACATTTTGAAGAATTTTATTTTGGGAGGGTATCTCTTTTAGAAAGAACAAAATTATACACAAGATGAGATGATTTTTCTCTTCTTTGCTATTGACTACAATATTAAAGTTGGTTAATTTTCTTTTTTCAGAAAAAAGAACATTAGAAATTTACCTACTGCCCCACCACAGGACAGTAAACAAAATGTCCCACCACTTTAAGACAAAAGAAAAAATCAACAATTTTTTTCCCTAATTAATTGTAATGTTACCTTATCTTCTGAGAAAAATGTTCAAAATGGCTGTAAACAGCCAGGAACATCCTCTTTGGAGAATAACAGGTTTTATCTCTATGTCCTCCCACCCTTTCCCAGCCTCCTCACTAATACTAGCAGGATGGATCAATAAACGTTTCTGGGACACTGCCCACCTATCCCTCCCCTAAGCCAACATTAACACTTACTTATCCCTTAGGGTAAAAATTTGGCTTAGGGGAGGGGTAGGTGGGCAGTTTCCCAGAAACGTATAATGATCTGGTATTCCAATCTGTTATTCTGCTAGTACCTGACAATGCAGATTTTCATGCTAAAAATTTGAAAGACTTTGAAAATACAATGCAGAGAGTGACTTGGACTAATCACCATCAAGAAAATACATGATAAGTGACTCTACATGTCCTCTGGGATAACATATGCCTCTAGATTTGGCCAACTTAAATGCATAAAAGTCATACTTTGCGCGGAGGCCAGAGAGGGCACTCCCCTCTTTGGCCTAAGTGGGTATAACAGTGCCACTGAACAGGTTATGGTTTTCAGGTCTTGAGTCCTAAAAAGGTTACACCATTTCACTACTTTATAGTGTCTTGAACAGGGTACCTTTTTGGAGTGTAAGCCTTTCAAAAAGTCTAAAGCTTGGCAAAAGAGCAGGCTACATGAAAGGTACTAACATCTGCCCCCCCCCCCCCCCCC